CAAAATAGCTGATGAATTTTAGTTGGCCGTAAAGCCAATGGAACAATGGCCACTCGATTGCTCGTTAGGGCTGTGCCATATTGGGGATTTTTTCTTGAAAATTGAATTTGGATGGGAATTGGGATGCGGACACACCTGCTTTTGGCACGTGTTTATAATTCCACCTGATAGACCAGTTCGTTTATATATTGTGATTCTGGAGCCTAAGGCTCATCAATTTTGATGAGGAAATTAGATGTTGTCCGTTGGGAATATGAATATTTGATTCTATTAACGAAATCAGACAGCGGAAAGGTGATCAAATTTTTACAACCCAGATAGTGGGTTCAGAAACGTAAAGATGTGAGAAAAAACATATTTTGCATATCTGGCGGGGATTAATAAATTACTGTATATTTTTTTATAATAAATTCCAATTGCATAGGATTGATAAATCATAGTCTTAAGACCTTCACGCTTATTTTCATAAACTCTTCTAATAAATAAGAATAAGCCCATTGAAATTGTCAGACAATAGAGTGTCTGGAAAAAGTAGCAATCGCTATAACAAAAGGTCTTAAGAGCTCTATTCAGGGGAGAAATTCTGAATGGATTTGGTTCGAAATGAAGAACACCTTCGAAATTTATGAAGAGATCGGCTTAGCATACAAAGCAGATTACTGGAGAAGGGATTACTGAAGCCATAAGTTATACCTTAATCCAAAATCAATTTCAAGAATCCTCTGATATTTAAAATAATAATTCCTCCATTGGCTGGTCTTGGCACGATCCTTTGGTCCATAATTTTTAAGTATTTTCAATTTATGCTAACGACGTTATCAATCCATCTGCAGCTGCCAGTTCGAACTCATAAAACTTCATTAGCAACTTCATTCCCCGCCACAACATGGCCGCGAAATTAGCAAACCTTTTAAATTAATGGCCAGGCCTTAGACACAGGTGGGGAGCTAACCACTCCAGAACTCCAAATGTGTAAATCTCATGGATATTAATCAAGAAAATTATAGACAAGGCACCGAAGGAAGATAGCCGGGTTGCCTACCTCGGGAGCCGAGTTCAGCTCTGGCTCGAAAGCAACTTGTTTTCCAGCCATGGGCCATGATTATGCTAGATTTTTAATAGCTTTGACTATAATCTTGGATGCTGTTGCTGCTCCGGCTGCCCGGCTGCTGCCTCCTTGAGCCCGAAAGGGTTTGGGTTTTCAGATTAACGCATGTGAAGTGCAGCCCCCCCTCCACCGCAACCCTCTCTTATTTTCTTCGGTTTCTTCTTCGACTATAATTATAAGTCTGTGGCGTTTTTCCTCCTCTTCCAAGGCTTAGTTTTCGTTTTTTTATCCTTTTCTTTTCTTGATTATTAGCTACCTTCGCACCATCCTATATACATACCTGTATAAATCCTTGTACACACATCGGTGGAAGAAAAAGTATCCCGAAGGGATTAAAATTAAAAAAAAAAACTCCATTCCTGGCCAAGAGCATTTCAAACTGCGACCCTTTTTCCCTTCTCTCAGTTAGCCTGCCCACTTCCCTACCCCTACTCTTGGCCCTCCCCCTTCCCCTGGCCCTCATCAAATCCCATACCCCTCCCCCACATCGTCTTCTGGACGGTTGTTTGTTGTTGTTCGCTGGTGTTTAGTAAGCAAACTGAAGTGCATATAGGGTCCGCGTACCACTAGGCCCAGAAGATACGGTCCGACAGGGAGGTAAAACATAGCTGATAAACACATGGCATACCCTAGGCCCTAGGGGGTTTAGTTAGGGTTTATGTAGTTAGGGTCTGGGCTTTGGATTGAATTCTATAGAAATATGCTTCCGATTTGTTGGTTTTATTTAATGGAGATTGATGTAGGGGCTTAGTGCCACTAATAAATGATATAAATAAGATAGATACTAGATAAATGATCTTCTAACTATAAGATCGAGGTTCTTCAAGGTTGAGATTTAAACCAATTCGTAGTATTTCTTAAGCTTTAAAGCCTCCAAGTTCTGAATACCTTTTACCAATCCCAAGTGTTACCTCTTTCCATATGCCTTTCCTGATTAACCAAGTGCTGGACACTTTTAGCCATCATCAGAGGGACAAACCACTCCGCCCCTTGATGCCCCACCCCCTGGCCGTCCTCTCCGTTTTCTATACAAACATTAAATCCGTTTGCGCAGTGTATGCCAGTGTGTGTGTGTTTGTATATTTTTTCTGTTTTTTTTTTTTTTTATCAACTGAAACCTTTTCACTCTGCTGGTCGGCGGGTCCCTGGGTTTTCTGCTGGCCTCAGATGTTTACACACAAAAACCCAGCAAACGAACCGATCCCGGACCCTGAGGAGAAAAAAAAAGAAGTACGACAGCAGCATAGGAGGAAGAAGAAGCGGGAGAAAAATAAGAAGAAGAGGTGGAGAGAAAAAGTGGCAGCCAAATTGCTCCTCGATATCTTTTATTTTCCTCCAGCAGTAGTTGGTCTTCTGGCTCTTTTTATTATATGTACAAACACCGTAAAAAAATATCCGAAAAAATTATAAAAATATTCTTAATATTCTATTAAAAATTAAGGAAAAGTTTTATCAATTCTTTATTAGTTTTCTTTCCTAAAATATTATCAAAACCTTTAATATTTTAAAGAATTATTCTTCCTGTGCACTTACCAACATTTACATACTGGACACTTTAAGCCTTTTGGGTTCATTTGCTGGGCAACCGTTTGCGCAAACGTTTTCAGTGTACCAGTATCCGTATCTTTGTATCTGTATCTGGTTGCTTGTATCTGTAAAAAGTATCTGTACGCGCACAACTCTCTCTCTTGGCGCGTCCCAGTAGGTCTACTACTACGGCAGTCTACGTGCCGTCGCTTTTGCTGATGATGTCCATTATTTACATGAATTTTTATTTGCTTTTCTTATTTGGCTTGACGTTTTCAAAAGTGCCGATGTTTCAAAAAGATAATGAACGCTGAATTGTACATTGTATGTACACAGAGCGCGGCGAGAAACGTGGGTCCGCCTGGGTCTCGTAAATGCAAAAGTGAGAAAACAAAACCTAGAAAAAAATAAAATAAAATAAAACTATATATGAAAACCCCCAAAACGGGTTACACATTTTTTTTTGGTCGAGGCTACCAGAAATTGGAAGGGGGAGAAGGGAGAGTGGAGCTGAGGGATTATCGGGATCATAATCGAATGAGATATTAGGGGCCATCGCTCATCTATTGGCTGTTAAAGGTACGTCCGCCTGATTATATCAGCCGCCTATGTTGGGGGATTTATTATGGCCGAGTGTGTCATAAAGAGATCAGATAAGTAGTTTATTGAATCCAATATAGATAGAATGCGACAGATTATGATCGAGGGCAGGGGAACTGGCCTGCACTAGATTAGAAGTGTACACATAGTTGGTGTCATAAAACGAGTATTCGAGTAGAAGAATTATTCAATTATTATCTAATAAAAATTAAGATTAATTGGCGGAGGCTTCTGATCACAGTTTTCCACAGTGCTTCCCCAAAAGAGGTAATCACGCTAAGACCATCCCACATTTTACAGATATTTGAATTATTAATTTAGACTCTCTTGTGTATTTCCTCCAAAGTCATTCTCCATTAAGCCATAACAATAATATACTCATCTCGTGATCAAGTCATGATTCCAGCTACTTTATAGAGCTAATCTGACAGCGCACTCTCCGCGTCAGACAATGCCAAAAAAAAGAAGATTATTTCCATAGATAACCTACAATGCCAACAATTCTACAGATAGTCCACAGATCCGAGAAAGAAACGAACGGTATATCCCAACAATGGGGCGCCTCTTCACCTCCAGCTACAAAAATCTAAGCAGAGGTTGGCTCTTGGGCAGGTTGGCTCTGAATTTTAATGTTGACGCTGATGACGATGCAGCATTTTGCATTAAAATCGAGTGAGACAGCGAGAACGATTCTGGCCAAATGATAAGCAAAACTGTCATTTGTAAAGACGTCCAAAAGACTTTTTATTTTTAAGCTCTTTTTTTTATCTTTTGCGAAACTCGTTAAACATTTAAATGGGGGCTTAAATGGAGGACACTTGAAAAATAGTATGAGTGGGTTTTGATATATATTTTACTTCAAAAGTTAGGATAATATTTCATTAGATCTTGAAAAGTAGGGAGCTAATTCTCTTTATACATTTTCAATATTATTTTATGGTTCAATTAATAAAATGTGTAAACATTTGAAATAAATTTCACATAAATTTCGCTAATGCATTAATTTAACTCAATTAAATATAAAAAGGGTTGTAAATACCATATAATCTTGTTAAAATTTTTGATCTTTGGAATGTAATTAACCTTAAATAAACACACAAATTTACATATTCAATTTATTTAATATAAAAAAAGTACTCTGGTTTTTTTTATAAAACGTTCATGTTATTTATTGTAACCTTAACTTAAGTATTTTATTTCTTTCCCTGAAATGAGAAATAATTGAAAATTTTATTTAAAAACTTCTTGAATATATCCTTGAATTTGAAATTTTATTTTCCCGTGCAGCCCGAAGAGTTGGCTTTAAGAAGAAGCATCTGAACCAAGGGGCTCACAAATTTTACGGTCCCGGCCATCATTGTGATCATTATTATCTGGATTATTTTGTTATTATCATGATGATCACGTTACCTCCTCAGACGTCGCTCTGCCCTCATCCCCCCCTGGTCGTACCCTCCCCATCCCACCGCACCTCACCTTTTGAGATACTCAGAAGTCGGGGCTCCTGTTGCGTAAATCCAGTAAGCAGTCGGTTGAGTTCGGTTCGAGTCATTTACCAAAGCGACGGCAACTTGGCTGCCTGCCTTTTTGCCGCTGCCGCTGCCTCTGTGTATCTGGATCTGTGTGCGTATCTTTGTATCTGAGAGTGCCAGCGTATCTCTGCCAGGCTATATGTGAGGTTGAGTGTGCATGTGTGTGTGTGTTTATATCGTTACTACTGTGCAGCCCCTTGCTTACTCAGAGGTTCGGGCAGGTTTTTTTAGACGCACAATCTTATCTAACCTGGCACTGGAAGCAGCAACAGCAGCAACAGATCGGTCGTCGCGGTGCCAACTGCGACTCGTTTTCAGTTTAGTTTCACTCGCCGTCGTCGGCAGTCCGCTGTTGATAATAATAAACCAACAAAAACAATATTGCTAACTAAGTTACTACAAAAACAACCAAAGGCAGTTATAAAATTCATATGGAAAAACACAGCAACAACAAATAGTAGGGCCAACATTCTGGGCCATAATGTGATCAACTTTTCAGTTACCCTGTGTACATAAATTGTGATAAAAAATTCTATAATATATAGGTAATCATTTTGAGATAAAATATCTCTATATAGTATAAAGTGCTTGTGTCTAAATACTGTTTTAAAAGTGCTGCTTGAGGATCTTTATATATTTGCTACAAATATGGCCTTTTTTCGCGATAAGAAGTGCAAAAAACAAATTTGAATATCTTAGCTTTTATTTAAAGGCTTCAGATAAGAAGGGCCTTAAACTTTACATTAAAAAATACCATATAATATATATTTTATTGATATAATTTGTGTGCAATAGTTTAAAAAACAAAAAAAGTGAAAACTAGACTTGAGGGAAAAGGTTTCCCTGTAACATAACCCAACTATATCTTCTTAAAACCAGTTCTTGAGCCCAATACTTATCATGCCCAATATATACCCTAGGGGTTATAAAAACACTGCCTGGAAATAATTGTTTATTGCACTTGAGGCACAATTAAGATAAGCCCCAAAAAAAAAAAACGAGGGCCTAATAACCTGCGACAATTAACACAACAAAACCGTCTACTAATTGTTATTTACCACCTTTCTAACGTGTTTTTGTTTTTGTTTCTGTTTCCACCCTATCTCCGGCAGTTCTAACGGAATGTGAAGAGCCTCCACGCGAAATAACATGCCCACGGACAGCTCATCCAGCGATATCTCCGGCGGAGGAGGTGGAGCCGGTGGAGGTGGTGCGATACCAATGCTGCGACCGTCCCGTATGGATCAATTCATGTCCTCGGTGGCCGCCGCCGCTGCAGTGGTGGGCGGAGCAGCAGCAGCTGCAGCGGCAGCGGAGAGGGGCGGCGGCAACTCGGACGGTGGCTCCCAGAATGGTAGCGATTCACGCAACTCATCAGCCAGCCGGATCTCGGCATATGAAACACAGCTGGCCTACCAACAGCACCTGGCCGGACTCCATCCGCCGCCCCCGCCGCACCACCGCGAGATCTCCGCCTTTGTTCCGGTCCTGCCCACCGGAAAGGGCAGGCCCGGCAGTAACTCCAACTACGAAATCATCGCCATGATGGCCGACAAACGGAAGGAGCTGGCTCTCCGGGAAGCAGCAGCCGCGGCCGCCATGTTGGGTCGAGGCCCTGGGGGACCCGGGGCCCCACCACCACCAGGAGTGCTGTACGCCCCACCCGGAGTTCCACCGCCGCCATATCTCACCGGTCCCGGGCCCTCGCCCACGGGAGCGGGTAGCTTTCCCTTTCCGCCCGGCGCAGCCACAGCGGCGGCCCTCTTTCCTCCCGGTCTGGGACCGGGAATGCACGCTGGACTGGATCGGCGCCTGCTGAGGGCACCCGGACGGGCCTCCAGGCCCAAGAAACAGTTCATCTGTAAGTTCTGCAACCGACAGTTCACCAAGTCGTACAATCTGCTCATCCACGAGAGGACCCACACGGACGAGAGGCCGTATTCCTGTGATATTTGCGGCAAGGCGTTCCGGCGACAGGATCACCTCAGGGATCACAGGTGAGTCGAAAGGGGGAGGGAGCTAAATTATCGAGGGGCAGTGGAGTGGGGAGGGAGTGTCTGGCCTGGTAATTGCTGTCCAGGCCAAGAGAATCTTTTGATTTAGAAAAGCTTCCGAGTAGGCGAATAAAGAAATACACTTTCAAGAAAGCCAAAAAAAGGAAATAGGCATGTGAAGCCCCTTAGCTTAAAAATAGATTTCACATTAGCATCTCTAAGACTTTGAAAACATCACCTGAAACTCTTTGATTTTCACATTTACCTGTTAGTCTCTCGGACTAACAAACTCTTTGTAACACCTTTGAGTTTTCCAAGAAAAACCCAGTAAGATTTTCCAATTCCGACTCCAAAGACCTTTTCCATAATCCAAAAATCACAGCTCCACCGAAAAACCCCATCGTCGGGAAAGAGTACAACACTTGTCTTCTGCTGGAGACGCTGCCCAAAGTTAATTAACTCTGTTGGTTTTCCTTTGGGGCACCAGCGTCCAGAAAGGGTTAGCTGGGGCAGGGGTGTCGGCAGGGGAATGGGTTAGGGGACTGTATACGTGTATGGCAGGAGGATCCAAGGCAGCAGGCAGGTCTCCCTACCCCCGGCTTCGATGTGTCGGCCTGTCCGAGCGTTCTGTCTTTTGATCGTTCGGTATCGGTCCATTTGTCGTTTGTTTGCTTTGCCGCGGGGCTAATTCTTCTTATATTTTTTTTTTTCGATTTTTTGTCGACCAGAAGAAACGCGACGCAGAGCATGGGAGAAGAATCTCGGGGGCCCCAGAGCAGACCAGAACCTGTTTCGGGTTTAATTTTTTTCGTTGTTGTTGTTTTTGTTTCTCCCTGAGACACCAGCAGCTGCTGGTGCGGCTGCTGTAGATGCGACTGAAGCTGTAGCCAAGATGCTGAATCTGAGTCTCTGAGATGGGGAGATGGGGCCTCTTGGCCGGGGCTGCTGGGCAACAACAAGTGGACGCCATTGCCAAGATGGCCGCCATAAACATAAAAAATTAATGCAAGCCGAAAGCAGCAACATCAATGAAAAATGGAATACACTATGCATTTAACAAGGATCTTGATTTAAAAAATTAAAATTTTAAGTTTAAAGCTTTTTTAAAAAATAGATTGAAAGAATATTAAGGAACTTTCTTTACTTTTAAATGAAATGAAATAGGACCCAAAACCTATTCAACAGTATTGTCTCAAAACTTCTTTTCAACTTTCCCCTTCCCAACTACTTTTGAAATAGATTTTATTTTAAAATATATAATATCTCTACCATATACATATGATATTATATAGCCCCTGTTAGAGTATTTAATGAACCCCATCTCCATATTTTGGGGGCTTTAAACACTGTAGTTAAATGCAGATAACTGTCAAGTTCAACTACCAATTTCTCAGCTACCAGGAAACACCAACGCAGTTACTAAATAAAACCATAAAATTGGAAAGTTTTAACGTTTTTTTATTATTATTTTTTTACAGATATATCCACTCCAAGGAAAAGCCTTTCAAATGCACGGAATGTGGCAAGGGCTTCTGCCAGTCCAGGACTCTGGCCGTGCACAAGATCCTGCACATGGAGGAGTCGCCGCACAAGTGCCCCGTTTGCAGTCGTTCCTTCAATCAAAGGTCCAACCTGAAAACCCATCTCCTCACCCACACGGATCACAAGCCCTACGAGTGTTCGTCCTGTGGCAAGGTATTCCGCCGGAACTGCGATCTCCGACGTCATGCCCTGACCCATGCCGTTGGGGAAGTTAATTCCGGCGACTATGTGGACGTGGGCGAAGAAGACGAAGCCCGCAACTTGAGTGGAGATGAAGAGGATTCGCTTCTGGAGGTGGACTCGCCGCGTCAGTCGCCTATTCATAATATGGGAGACTCGGGATCCGGAGAAAAATCGGAGTCGGAGAGGATGCGACTTAAGCGTAAGGCGGCCATTGATCACGAAGAGAGTGAAGAGGAGTTTGATGACTTTGACGAGGAGGAGGAGTTGCAGGATCTGCCTAGCAGGGATCGAGATTTGGTTGGGGAAGACGATGAGGACTTTGATCCAGAGGATGAGGAGCAGGCCGAGGCGGCTCTGGTGGCGCGTTTCCAGGCCGGCAAGGCGGCCGCTTCCACGGCTTCTGCGATGTCTTCGGGTGGTGCAGGTGGCTCAGTTTCCAAATCGGAGCGCCAGGGAGTTACCCACTGTCATCACGAAGGCGGCGAGACCTACACCATGCGCCCACATGGCGAGAAACATCAAGAGGAGCCCCCAAATACAAATAGCACCACGATTTCAACTACTCCGACCTTTGTTCGCTATCCGCCACCACCGAATGGGGCTGCACCACCTCCTGGGGCAACAGGAGCTCCTATAGCTGCCGCACCACCACCCCACCACCATCCAGGACACTTGCTGCCACCCAATGGCGATCCCTATCTACCCATGCTGCACGTTCGTCGCGACTTGCACCACAAGAGCTTGAACCTATCCAAGGGCGCTCCGCCGCTCCCACCGCACACGCCACCTACAATCATCACCCAGCCGGAGGCGAATAAGCCACCCAATCAGCCCCTCCATTCGCCCCACGAGGCGATGCCCAGCTTCCTAGGATCCATACCGATGCGCAAGCGGATACTGCCACCACCACCCACCATGGACCTGATGGACCCTACGCACCACCATCCCACCCTGGGTCCCAGGTCCTTTGTGGACAACCCAAGCATATATGCTTTGAACATGTCCCGGCATCCACCAAGGCAGCTGCTGGGGAAACCGCCTAGCACGGAGACCAGTGGAGGAGCCACCGAGAAAGGATCATCACCACTGGCGCCACCTGTGGCACCACCACCGCCTGTGGCAGCACCGCCTCCTCGAAGGACAGGCTTCAGCATCGAAGACATAATGCGGCGTTGAGAAAAATAATACATTTATTAGTAAACTCTAAAGTAAAAACTTTACATAAAAACTTAATTGAATTTTTTGATTCGTTAAAGACAAGAAATGAAACTGTTCCCGATGGCGGCAAAAAAGGGCGATCGCCTTTTAGCCACCTTTTAAAGCTAATTTAGAGCTACGTTTTAGTACATTTTAGTACAATGTCTAGGCAAGGCAATAAACTTAGGTTAAGTAATAAAAAAAAAAGAAACAGTAACGCCCATAAGCTGTAATTTTAGGCGCAAAGAAACTCTGTTGTTGCATTTTATAGAGCTTTTAAAAAACTATCATCAATGTATTTAGGAATAGGAACTTAGCGTAAATCTAACTATTAAAAAAAAAAAGAAAATGTTTAAGCCTGTAGTACGAGAGTCTATCGATTAGTTTCTATTTGTGTGTGGCCTCCCCGAACCCCCTCCCAACACTAAGTGTTGCCGTTTGTGTGAATTGAAACTTTTAATTTATGTTTCTTTATCCAATAAGCTAATCTTAATGAGTAAACAAAATCGTAAATCGATTTTGCTGTAGGGAAAAAAATGGTTGAAAGTAAAAGTTATTTTTGTGTAAAACAGAGCATAGGCATTCATAAGCAAAAATCAAACTATAAGCAACATTCCAGTTGAATTTTATATACATACATCTTTATGTTTGTAATTAGGATTAGTTTTTAAGAGTTTTGTAATAGTTTTGGTAAGCAGCCCTAGAATTCCATGGTCTTCCTTGAATTTTAAATGATTTTATTCGAACCATAGCAAGATAGTTTATTTCAAATAAAGTTTGCATTAATATTGAAAAAGGTTTTTAAAGTTTTTTCTGAAAAATTGTTGTCCAAACTTTGTATGCCAGTGGTTGGACTTCTTTCGGCTGGGGCATTTAATACGTGTATGATTGAAAGGGATCTGCAGAGAGCTATAAAAATCCACTGACTCATTCGCATTAGGCCATCAATCACAGACGGCCGTAATAATACTTCAGGCACGTTTTCGGGCCCGCCCCCTTCTTCGCTCCTAGACACGACAGTTTGCGGTTTTGTGGCAACGCCTTTAACATTGACTCCAGCCTCGCACTCAAATCGATCGAAAGGTAAGCTGAGGTGAGGTGAGGCCGGCAGAATGGAGCATATCAAGTACGCTACTCAAACACGTAGAAAGTTCAATTAAAATGCCACGCAAATTGTCATCATCGCCGCACAATTGAAGTTGCAGTATGATTTCCTCGAATTTTTTATTTTGGCGCCCAAGAAAAAGCCCCAAACTGCCCAAAAAAAACGAACTATAAAACGATTCGCGTAAAGCCGACAAGTTTCTCCTCCGGATGATATCATCTGGAGTCCAGGAACACACGTGATTTGGTTGCCAAAATCAGTGCGTGAGAAACCTCTAAACTTTATATCAGTTTTGAAGATTTCCCATTATTCATACATGAATTTGTAAGCAAAGTTTACTTCTGAGTACCTTTATTATCTTTACATATATTTCCTGGTTTTATAACGAAACTATTTAATTCATTTATTTTTTTAACTTATTTAAATGTCTTATTTTATTAGCAGAACATTTAAAAATCCTTAAGGACAAAAAAGTTTTGTTTGAAATAATTCAAAATAATAAAGACCTAAAAAACAAAACTAAATGTCATTAAATTAATTGCACAAACAATAATTACGACGGTTGTTGAATAAGTGTTTAGTTCTTTGATTTTTAGGTTATGAAAATTTATTTTTTACATATTTACGCATTTTTTAAACCAAACAAACAACAGGGTGCTTCATGTCCTGTTGCCAAACCCTAACATTTTTAATTTCAGGAAATTGGAAATGGGAAACAGGACATCCTGTTCAAATAGGAAATAGAATTTTAAATATTTAGGATTTCAATATTTGAAATGAAGATTATTTTATATAAAAAATAACTTTTTACATTAAGATTCCAATATTTGAAATTTTGCGCCAACTTTTAACAGCTCTGTAAGCTGGACAGTTTTCGCTTAACAGCACCGTGTTTGCGTTACTCGGTGCGCTGTTAAAAGGTAAACAAAAAATTAGTCTAAAAATGACGTTCGGACAACAATACAAATAATTCCTTTAAAATGTAAGTAAATTTAAGCAAAAAAGCAAATATCTTTATTCACTTTACCGCACTTTTAAAGGGCAAGAAAGAAAATATGTCGAGTTTGCATTAATACCACCAATCAGATGGTGGATATCTTTGGCCAGAAACCAAAATCCGGGATTCCACTTTCCGATTTAATACTCCAGTGCACCGGTAATACCGTCAAGACGGAAGACCCATATCCAGACTTTTTATGCATGTCGTGCCTGAAAGAGCTCCAAGATGCCTCTGAAATAATAGAAACATTCAAACGAAGTCATCAATTCTTCTGCCAACTGAAGGAACAGAAAGATCGTGAGGAGGACCCACCGGAAGAAGAGGCCGGCAGGCCGTTGGAAGATGGTGATGATATCTACACTATAGACCTGATTTCGGACCAAAGTGACGATGCCAATTCAGAGGATGATAATTGCCCAGTGAAGAACGAGCCAATCGACGAATATATATATGAAGATGAGGAGATTGAGAAGCTGGCCGAAAGCAATAAAGACAACGAACCTATTAATTTTGATATCATTGTAAAGGAAGACGAAGAATTGAGAGAGAACGAGGATACCGTTTCAGAAGGCATTACTATTTCGGACGAAGATGAAGACGAAGTGCCAGTTCAGTTCAAGTGTCATTTGTGTCCAAAGAGTTTTACAACGAAAATAGGTCTAATACGACATAACATATTCCACTCTGATAAGCTACCGTTCAAGTGTCCCCATTGCCCCAAATCGTTTCGCCGAAAGGCCAATCATAAGGAACACGTGCTGAGCCACAGCAAAGAGCGTCAACTGAAATGTAACCTTTGCCCAAGAACATTTATGAGAACCCGATACCTTGAGGAGCACATCCTCGCCCACAGGGGCGAACGTCCCCACAAATGTGAGGTTTGCTCGAAGGATTTTCGCCGATTGAGGGATCTCAAAAGACACCATGTGGAGACTCACATGCAGGAGCGTCCCTTCCAGTGTCCAACTTGCCAGAAATCTTTCGGAAGAAACACTACTCTCACTCTTCATTTGGAGACACACACCAATAGGACATTGTATAGAAAAAAACGTGTAGAATAGAACAAAACCAACTATCGAATCTAGATGTTTAATATTTAGGGAATTTTATGTTGTAATAAAATAAAAACTTTCCGAAATTTAAAAGTGGCGCTCTTTTGAAAGCTTGCGTGCGACTGAAACCACTATAGTCGCGGCAAAAGAGGGACGGCTAGCTGGTCGAGAATGAGTGCCGACGACTTCCAACATGAACCAAACGACCGGCGAGACCGGTCTACCAAACCTGGGCCCCTGTTACAATTCCGGTCTAAATCTAAATGATGCTGCTCACTCACTGCTCTAGTTTGTTCGAATTGGAAGCGTCAGCGGAGCGAAAAACCGCCGCAGCCCTGACGGGGAAAAATGCATGCGACCGAGGAAATGAAGCGCCGGAGTCGGTACTAGCTCCGGCCCGCCACAACCAAAGAAACAACCATACCCACTGCTCAAAAATCGAAATACCCAAATGTTGAGTAGTGAGTTGGCGCAGCAGTCCGGAATCCGGATATTCTCGGGTATATTTATCAAAAACGAATAATTGGACTCATCCCGGAGCTGGGGAGTTGACCAACACTTATTTTCGAAGCGTGATGGGAAAGCGAAATTGGAGAATCGCCCGGTCACTTGAGCCACACAATTTCGATTCATGGACTCTAACGAACAGGCGCCCAGAGACCGGGACCGGAGACTCTTGAGATTGTTCGCAGGCCAGTCACTCGACCTCCGATTTCATTTCGTTTCAACTGAGTGTGAATTTCTCAGGCCGCTCCGCTGCGTCAGTATTGAATCGATGTATCTGTGTATCTGTGTATCTGTGGGATTGTTTGTTTGGTGGTTCGCATGGTATGTGTATCTGTGGGTTTGTTTGTTTGCCTTTGTTACTCTACCATTCGGTGATAAAGCTTTACTGTTTGTATGTATGTATCTTGAAAATATTGTTTCTATGTGTGCATTTCCGCAGATTGAGTGCTATAGGAGGATTATCCGTTTTAAAGTATTTTAGGAAAATATTTTGGAGAATTATAGAGCTGAAAATTAAACTTAAAATCAAGGAAGAGAAGTGAATGACTACCACTGAGGTTCATACAACTTGCACCACTTGTCCCTTTTCGAGTTCTTCTACAATTCCTCCCTTAAGAGGCACCCATCCATTTTCGACATGCCTGGAAGCACGAAAAAATCCTTGAACATATTGATGAACCAGGAGTGCAGTAGCTGGAGCATATGTCTGCATATTCGACACAAATAACTGGAATAACTGCTGCCAAGTCAATGCCACATTATCGGCAACCGAGGCTCGTCGGGAACAGGGGGAGAGTGACGTAGCCCGAGCAGAAGTTGGGACACGACAGTCGTGGAGCCGGCCATTAGATGAAACCTTGTCCAAGGCCAGCAGGAGGAGGAGTAGGAGGTTGAGGAGCGCCCGAGGGCCACGAGGTGGAACTCAAGCGAAGCCAATGAACCAAGGCAGAGGAAGTGGCTCCAGTTGTCTGCCAATTGCTTAGACATTCCTGGTTCTCACCCAAGGCCGCATATGGTGCTGCACAGTGGAAACTACATATCAGAGTAGGTTTTTTCATTTTCGTTTATATTCCTAAGCCTTTAATATGTTTTAGACATCTATTGTGTTATTTCTCTGGGAAATACAGAAGCTGTGCTCCATCATGGCGACAATTCCCGATGCCGATGTACCCCTACTTCAATCCATACCCCTCCGGGTTTTGGAGGTTTGCTTCACCCCCCTATATTATGGAGTTAAGGTAACAACAAGCATTCTGTCGGCCATCACTAGCTTCCTCTACTGCCTTTGGACGCCGCCCTTGAGGAGATCCAACTGATCCAAAAATTTAACAATAAACTAAACTAATCGAACCCACAGTACGTGAGATGCAAGAAGCGAAGCCTTAGTAAGGAAAGGTTTAAGAAGCCAGACTTGGACACCAAAGGAATTCGATGCCATGGACGGACTCCGGACAGCTGAAGAAGATGTTAACCCAAGCGGATGCAGAACCCGATGAGGAACCGAGACTGTGAGGGACGAGGCGACCGAGACGCAAGAAGGGGCAAGAAGCCACGACTAGGACCAGTCTGGAGACGATATATCTGGGAATGATGCGGACAGGGAAACGAGGAAGCTGGGGGGAGCCACAAGATGGGGCAGCATGAACAGCAGCGTAAACAAAACGACCATCAGCGCTGGAGGAATGGAAAAACAATTCACTGGAAGAAAATCCCCAAACGAATATTATATGCCTTTTAATAAAAGGATTTGTTGCATTTTAAGAACATGTAGTTTGATATAGAAAGCTAAAAATTGAGTTAAGATTTTCCAAAATTGTGCTGAGGAAAAACCTGAATTTTGGATACTATGGATTGTAAATCTTTGTTCATTTTAATGTCGAAATTTTAAGATTGATAAGTTTGGGAAGCAGCTCACTGGAATAATACCTTACTTGGCCTTCAAGGACAGGAGAGGACGAATCCTGCCAACAGAGTTTCCAAATATCCTACAGAACCATCTAAACGAGGTAAAGTCTCAACTAACAATTATTAAAGCTCTAAAAATAAACGTTCTTAAGATTCTACAATTAGTTATTAACATTTTTAATATGGCTAGAGACATTTTCCATGTCAAGAATATCCTGAATATATCCGTCAAGATATATGATTCCTTCAGAGAAAAATATGAACAAATTGAGGTAGCTTTGGATAACTCTGTATGACATTGTTAGGAATATTTAGCCACTAAGTCTAGTCGTTGAGATATTTCGGATATAATTTTGATCTTTAAAAACTGGAGACGGTTCTTAGAAAACGATTTTTTTTGGTAAAAGCTTTAAATATATTTTATCTTTATTTTTCGGCCAATGACTTACATAAGCCTAATGTAATCGAGCTGGAAATCCTTTAATCCAAACTGCCAAATTCCTTGCAGTAAATCTTAATATTTCTTGGCCTTCAAAAGTGTAGATTGTTTTCTTAAGATTAGAGAGAACATTATTAAGACTGTAGATTTTAAAATTTTAATATTTAAAAGTTTTTAAAAAATAAAGAAACAAAAGAAGAAAGATGTCATTTTTAAATGGAATACATTATTATATTTTCCAGTGGACCGACCCTGGGAGCATTTTCGATGCCATAATAAAAAAAAGGAGAAAAAACATGAGCAACGTGTGTGTGTGCGAATGATTCTCCGGCTGTCTCCCGTTGAAATTCTCTCCATCTGGTCTTCCTCTTCTTCGCGGCTGGTTGTGTGGGAAAATTCAGGCCGTGGGAATTACATGTGAAATTTCGATGGTGTCCGGGAACAGGCGAGCAGCACTCCAGAGCCAGCAAACCAACGAGACGGGCCAGTCAACCCTCCTGTGGCCATACTCCACTCCACTCCACTTTACTCCATCCACTCCACGTTATTCCACTCCGCCCATATCCATATTCCAAGCAAAACAGAAAAAGTTCTAAGCAAGAACAAAAGGGCCCTGCCCTGCCCTGCCGGTTGGGGCCCTTTTTTTTATGGTAGCATGTACTTTGTACATTGTATGTACATACATATATATGTTGCCCCTTCTGGATGTTTGTGCAACATTTTGCCGGCTCTGCACAGATTTCAACGGAACAATTTCGAACAGGAGAACAGTTTTTTGAGAATCAGGCACTCTCATTTTGCAGCATGTTGCATGTGGCAATGTGGTAATGCGGCACTGTGGCATGTTTTGTATGTGGCACTGGGCAATCTCGAAATTGATTATCCGGCATCCGGGGAGCAAGGCTCCAATTTTTCAGCTAACAAAGGGCCAAGGGCCGCCCGAGGCCATCATTAGGTAGAAGGTTTCGTTTCGATTAGAAATTGCAGCAGGAACGCAGCAAAGTGCAGCAGGTGATTGGAACAAGTCCATAGCCAACAGTCCGTCAGGGAGTTTCCCCTTGCCCTTTCCCAACCATGGTTCCCTCTTCTTCCCATATCTTGGGCCCTCACAAATTGGTGGTCTTACCTTGTAGGTGTATACCCTTACCACTCACCTGGATGGGGGTCGAGTTCTATTATAAACTGAATATAATCATTATAATAGGGATTGGGTCTTCTGGTGGGTATAACATTTTTTATTTTAGGATAAAACCAATTAATATATTAAAGAATCTATTTTACTATAAAGAAGGATCTTTTATATCTTTTTATAAAGGAGTTATACCTTTCACTATTATAGAGTATGGAAAGTATTATGTTGCCTTTTCTGCTGAACCTGAAGAACGGCGGCAACAAGAACTTCTTTATTTTTAGCCACCAGACACAGGGACTTGGGAATAAAAAAGAAGGGGGGAGAACCAAAGGCGTACACAGAAATAAATCATGATAAGACGCCAAGTGATTTAAATTTTTGTACTATTTTTGCCATATTAAAAGACTAGGACATGGTCTGAACTAATTCATAAAATATAATGTTTATTACTCCCAAAAGGGATCTAGTTATTGCTTAATTTTTTTATGGTTAATAACGATTGTTGAATATCTTGAGTTACATAAAAGCACATTTTCAAACAAAAAATAGGAAAGCAGAAAGTAGAAATGTGTTTCTTTTTATGTTTCATGGCAAATAACTTATGAATATAATATTGATTCTTCCATAATGATGTCTTTGCAGGGTAAAAACATTAAAATAAATCTAAACATGTATCGCATATAAATTTAAATCGCCCGCCTTTTGGTTATCGAAATATACAGTGACTATCGAAAAGGCGCCAAACATTGAGAATGGCTGTTCTTCTTCTTGGCAGCTTGGCCCCCAGCTGCACGCCTTTTGTTTAGTTTGCCGTTTTTTTCTGTTTTCTCCTATTTCCTCAATGATTGGCCAGTAAAACTATGGATCAGCTCTATCTGGAGATCGAGATCAGCACTCGGGATTCGGTGACCACCATTTACACCAGTGTTTCCTCGTTCCTGGCCCTCTACACCTATAACTACCTGATCGAGAAAAACAATGTGCCTGTGAGGGTTAATTTTGTGGCCACCAAGATAGCTGGCGGTAAAATAGCTTTAAGGAGCGATCATCTGAAGAAGGAGCTTACGGACCAGCACATAACATGCCGTGAGGCGGCGTCCCTAGCCGCTATTCGGGATCTAAAGTTACCCATTTATGAGAAGGATGGAAACACCTACATAGCTGGAACTTGTGCTGTTTGCAGGTCAGGATTACTGATAATTTCATTTTCGAGAAATCTTTTACAATATACTTCATATTTCAGGGAGCTCATTGCCCGACAACCGAATGAGGAGCTTAAAAAACTGCTGGGATTCAAGGGCAGCTGCCTTTTGGCTCCTTCAGAAGCCTCCATTTGGACCAGATTCTGTGAGGTGGATGTCGTTGAGGTAGTCAGCGGTCTTCACAATGGTCTCATCTTGCCAGCTGTGCCCGTGGAAGTAGTAAGGTTCGAGCAGCACATGAACGAGCCGGTCCGGATGCACAACATCTACAAGCAGGCACGAGAGCAGGCAAATCAAACCGAAAATGGAGGAAAAGTGAAGCGGAAGGATCGTGTAGAGATCAAATGCACCACGCCAAAGGAACAGTTGCTTATTGAGCACCGTTTTGCGGAGGGTATCAGCTTTACGATTGCGGACATCATCCTGTATCCACTTTTGAAGATTATCTTCCAACACTGTGGGCAAATGCTGCCGCATTTTCCACTGACCAGCACCTGGTTTAGTGAGGTGAGGTCAAAGAAATACTATTCTTTGGGTCAACATTTTTAAATTTTGTTTTTTAAGATTGATGCTTTTGATGAGAGCTGTTCGAAGATTCTCAACGAGCTGTACGGGGGATCGAAGGTCAATACACCGCCGGGAGACCTATCTATTCCAGATTGCGATGCCACTAGTCTGTACAAGGCCGATCCAAAGCGGTACAAGCCCAGAAACCGCATCTACACTAGCCAATCGGAAGTGGAGGCTGCGCTTGGCAAACTAGCCGCACTGCAGTTGGAGTTCAGCTCGGATTCCGAACACAACTACGGACAACGGCTGATTGATTGGGAAAAGATTGAACCCTCACACGCCAAGAGCTCAGCTCTGCCCAAGGAGCGGCTCGAACGAAAGCGTCAGCAGCTGGAAAACATGGCCAACGCTGTGGTTTCCTTGGCGAAACCGGGAGATCGGATAGTGGACTTTTGCAGTGGCACTGGTCACCTGGCCATCTTGCTGGCCTTGAAGCTGCCAAAGTGCACTGTGATTGTGATGGAAAACAAGGCTTTCTCTCTGATCCAGGCCCAAAAACGGGCGCTGGAACTGGGACTTACCAACTGTGTCTTCTACCAATGCAATATAGATTACTTTGTGGGAGATTTCGATATTGGAGCGTCTTTGCACGCCTGTGGCACAGCCACGGATATTGTTTTGCAGCAGTGTCAACGGGCAAAGGCCCACTTTGTTTGCTGTCCTTGTTGCTATGGATCGCTGCAACCCATGCCGCACATATCGTATCCGCTTAGCGAAATCTTTCAACAGGTGTTGGGTACAAAGGATTTTCTCTACATAGCTCATACGGCGGACCAGGCACACGAAATGGGGACAACGAACTGCAAGCCGGACACCACGCTGCAGGGGCTGCTGTGCATGGCCATTGTCGACACAGACCGACAGCTGCAGGCTGAGGAGGCGGGCTACGAGGTGATCCTCACGCGACTTAAGCCCGAGCAGTGTACGCCAAAGAATCATCTGCTAGTCGGACGTTTTGTCAAACAGAACTGAAATTCCTAACTCTGGAAACTGCCCCAGGCATAAAATAAATAAATGCATTTTTGTAACTCCTGATTTTACAGGGGGTTTTAAAGCCTGTTTTTCGAGTTATTAATTTTGAATCCCTTTTAGTACCGGTACTGAACCTTCAAATAGTAAAAACATACATTTTCTAGCTTTCTTGCGAATTACACAGTTGTTGATTTTTATTAATCATCTTAATTCTCATTAGTTTAGAGCCAAATCGGAAAGGATTGTACAGGTACCGAATTGGCGGTTTTATTAGCTTATGGGAGAGTGGTTGTACAAAATGAAAACCCGTGCCGCAGCGACCGGGGGAATTATCAATTAATTTTTATATACCAATTCACTAAGATTCAGCAGCCGATTTCATTAATATATCAAGCCATCACCGCCTCGCAGAGCTAAAACCAAATGAAGGACAGAGCCACCTTGCACTTTGTAGTCAGCCGCTGTTTTGTCATCGTTCCTATATGAAAATGTATACAATTTTATAATTATGGATTATGAACACGATCTTTTAAAGAGAAAAAAAATGTTTGGTTAGCTCACATTTGCTTTCCGGAGAAAATCAGACGCTGTTGTTGGGGCGGGATGCCCTCCTTCTCCTCCACACGCTCCTTGATTCGATCCACCTTATCTGTTGGCTCAATGTCGATCTCGATTTCCTTGCCGGTCAGCGTCTGAATATATTACATATATATATATATAGGTTCATTTATATAAAAATCCAGAAAACCGTAAAGAATTGGCACACTTTATGTATCTTTCCAGTGTTTTGTTGTTGCAGATCTGACGCATTCTCGGAGTTCCAGAACTTTTTCTCTGTTACTCATTTCTGCGGTCTGAAATCCGCAGCCCTGCACTCACCTTCACTTTGATCAACATGTTGTGTGATTAAACTTCTGTTTAGCTTTCTAAAAATACAAAAATAACTACAATTTTCGCGAAATTCCACTCTGCTTGCGGCTTTTTTTGCTGTCACTCGCTTGGCGTTGCCACCTGGTACCGCAGATGGCCGCCAACTTATCGGATTTCGATTTGACTGTCGATTAACACCGATACAGTGGGATCAAATCGAATAAAAATAAAATAAAGTATGATTTTTAATAACCAATGTTTGAATTTTGTTTATATTACTTAGCTTTTTAATGAAGATTGCTCGGTCATACTGTCCCTCCGTTGCACTTAACAAAATCTGAATGTCCCTTTCGAAGGTCCCTCTTATTTATTGCCAATATATCAAGTGGATCCTCAAGAAAATTGGAAAAAAATTCTTTAAAAATGTACTAATAGAAAAACTTGCATATTGGTAGAGAATAGCGATTGACAAATCGTTTGAAGTATTCCGCCCAAGAATCGGATAAATATGGCCCCCTTTCGTTGGGGGCCATATTGTGGCTCTATGCATTTTTGTAAAATCTTGAACGGTATCCTCCAGAAAATTTGACAAAAAATCTAAAAAATATTTCGTTCCTAGATTTTGATGCAGATTGGTGTAGAATTGATCTACAAATCGTTTGAAGTATTCCGCCCAAGAATCGGATAAATATTGGCAAAGATACAGCCTTCTTTGGGGGCCACATTGTGGCTCTATGCCTTTTTGTAAAATCTTGAACGGTATCCTCCAGAAAATTTGACAAAAAATCTAAAAAATATTTCGTTCCTAGATTTTGATGCAGATTGGTGTAGAATTGATCTACAAATCGTTTGAAGTATTCCGCCCAAGAATCGGATAAATATTGGCAAAGATACAGCCTTCTTTGGGGGCCACATTGTGGCTCTATGCCTTTTTGTAAAATCTTGAACGGTATCCTCCAGAAAATTTGACAAAAAATCTAAAAAATATTTCGTTCCTAGATTTTGATGCAGATTGGTGTAGAATTGATCTACAAATCGTTTGAAGTATTCCGCCCAAGAATCGGATGAATATTGGCAAAGATACAGCCTTCGTTGGGAGCCATATTGTGGCTCCATGCATTTTTGTAAAATCTAGAAGGGTATCCTCCAGAAAATTTGACAAAAAATTTAAAAAAATTTTCGTTCCTAGATTTTGATGCAGATTGGTGGAGAATTGATCTACAAATTGTTTAAGGTATACCGCTCAAGTATCGGATGAATATTGGCAAAGATACAGCCTTCGTTGGGAGCCATATTGTGGCTCCATTCATTTTTGGATGATTGGTGGTAAAGATATAGCCATTGGAGGAAGCCATGTACATATTCCTTCCATACAATCCTCAAAAATTTGAAGGGAGCACCCCGTAAAATATGACCAAAAAAGTTTTGTCTGGCTTTTTGTTTAATATACATCTAAAATTTAATAATTAACAGCTTAAAGTATAAAAGTAACGACTAATTGGAAATGCATTTTGTTCTGTTGGACTTAAGTGAGATCCCCCGCTGCTTAGGAAAGCTTCTTCAGCTTGTTCCAGTCCCGGATCGCTTCCCCAATGTGCCGGATATCTCGGGCATATGTCCGGCAGCATCCACCAATAACCTTGGCCCCCAGTTGCGCCCACTCCGGGACGTAGTTCTCGAGCGGCACACAGTGCTCGCGGCCTTGCCAGCCGTTGACGACATCGTAGGTCTCGCCACTGTTCGGGTACACCACCAGGGGGATCTGTTCGTCGGCTCCGCGCTCTCCGTTCAAGCTCTTGAACAGAGGCGTCACAAATTTGGGATGGACACAGTTGACGCCGATGGCCAGACACTTGTCCTGAGCATTGCGCTCGGCCAGAAGATCCCAAATGGCCGTGGCTGCATCCGCAAACGTTTCTCCATGGGCCAGGGTGCCCTCGTCCTTGCACTGGAAAGCCACCCAGAATTTCACGTCCGGATAATCGTCGCAGAGCATTTCCACCAATGCCTCGGCCTCCATCTGACAAGGAATCGTCTCGATGGCCAGGGCATCTACTCCGGCCTCCAGACAGGCCTCAATCCGGACGCGATGCCAGTCGGTGATCTCCTTGGCGGGCACATAGTCGGCATAGCTGCCAGTGTACTCAGAGCCGTCGTGCAAATGAGCTCCAAAGGGTCCAATGGAGGCAATGATTAGGGGGAAGCCTGGGAAAGATAATATTACTCATAAATGTGTGTCCATAAAAGCCTTTATCCTAATTAAATACTCCTAATCCGGCACGTGCCAAACCGATATTACCATGGTAACCAGGAGAAAGTGGACTTACCTTCCGGAACGGACAGCTGGGCCTGATAGCACTCGGTGAGATAGCGCTCCTTGGCGATGTGCGCCAGCCGGACGGTGTTCCTAATCAGCTCGATGCTCTGCTCCTCGTCCAGTTCCAGATACTCCATGTAACCCTCCACGCTGGACTGATACGTGTTCGTCAGAATGATATCGGCTCCATCTATTTTTGTTGTCAGGGGACAGGAGAAGAACAAACTTTAGTTAGCCCCTGTTGCTAATTGAGGAATGAGTTGTAAACTCACTTTGCAAGAAGTCCAGGTGAGTGCTAATGATGGCCGAAGGATTGGTGGCATTGAAACGGGAACTCCACAGTGGATCACCGTCCACCGAATTGCCGACATGGACGGTCATCTGGGTACCGAAACCACCATCTTTGACCAGGACGCGCGTCAAACCCATGATTGCAAAATGGTTACCAACAGGCTACTGAAATCAGGTGAAATTTTATTGATTACTTTATAGTTACATCCTTCTACGTCAGCAGATAGGGAGATAATCGATTCATATATAGTCAGGGCTTGGTGGTTATATGAGGTCGAACATCTGGCAAAAACGACTAATTAATACAGATTACAGGGCAACAATGTAAGGGCTATAGTTGTTTACCAATTAGATCTTATAAAACCAACTATATCGCCGCCCCCTTCTTTTGGTTCAACGAACTTTGTAGACGGGAAGCCAAGTGCACAAACAACTTGCAACGTGAGTGTTTATCTATTAAGTACCAAGCGTTCTAGTTTTCATTTTTTTTATTGTATATACAATGAATAAATACTCTATTTTTAAGGGTCCTTTTAAATATTAAATATCCATCCCATTGGATCCTTATTTTTCTTCATTTCATTTAAGATTATTTCTGATTGTATAGCCCTTTGTTTTTTTAGGAAATTTTGTTATATATATCGTAAAATATTATATATCCAAGTTCATTAACCTTCAATCTAATAAAATATAAACAAATTTTTGTTGTTTGTTGAGTGGATATATATTTTATATCGAAATATTAAAGTTCACTAGCCTTTAATCCTATACAATTTTTCTTACGTTTAAATTTTGCCTTACTTGTTTTTAAAAAAATATAACCAATAAAACGAATAATATTTAAAATAAAAATAAAATATTTAAATTTGAAATACCATTGGTAAGTATAAACTTTTTTTGTACAAGAAAAAGATCTCCTGACTCTGAATATTATGATTTAAATATCTAAACTATGACACAATAACTATAAAACTTTAAAAATTGTGAAAAATTATGGTCATTTAGAAAATTAACTTCTTTTTTTTTAGAACCTTTGACTAACTTTTAGAACCACTTATTTAATTTAGAATATCACACATTTCAAATACCTCTTAGCTGGGTATAATAAAATAAACAAAGTTTGTCCCGCACTCACCTTGAAAGATTATTTATAGATCTTGTAAATGGCTCGATTCAATAACAACTTTATTGAGTGATAGACGGTCTGGCTGGCTGGCTGACTATCAGACTGACTGATTAATTTATTTTTTTTTATTTGTGGTTTGTATTGTTTTTGTTTCTTTTATTTTTGTGATAGAAAATAAGTCGCTGGGATAAGTGAACTGTCGCGCTGAATGCTCGGCAAACGTTTAAGTGTTTTACAAAGGCGGCGAGGGCTTTTATACTTTCCGGCGGACAGATCGCTCAGCTGGTCTGCCATGGATGGATGGGGCTTATCTCGGCGAAATTAATAAATAAATTTTATAACAAAACAAAATAAAAACGGCAAACACACATCAACATAATAATGCCCCCACCAAGTGATACTCCTCGGGTGATAAGCCGGGTGCACAGCTGCCAGACGTTGCCGCACAGCTCGGCCAGATTGGGTTCGGAATCGGACTCGGAATCGGAATCAGGTTCGGATTCGGGTCGTCCGGGTTGAGTGCGACTCCTCCACAAGGCTGATGAAATCGTTGTTGGTTCGTCAGAGTGCGTGGCTTATATTCCCCTGCCTGGAGACTCAGGATCTTGGCTTAATCGTCACTGATAACCTCCGGGAATGCGACCACTCGGAGACGTACTTGGTTGTTGACTCTTCCCCTTGGACACGAGCTGCCAGACATAGCCAGAGGGTACCGGCGGGTGTCTCAAGCAGCAGGGGATAATGGTCTTAGAAAATACGGATCTATAATTTATGTTGTTTTTTTTGAAATGCGCTTTTTTCAAGGCAAAATGCAAAAGTCAACGACCAATGACAAAAATGGGACACAGTTTTAAAACAATTGGATCAAAAATATGTTTTATTTCAAATAGCATTCTTAACTAATAGTTTTTGTGTTTAATATTTCATTTAATCAGGTTCTGAGCTTATGTAAGAAAGGTACATAGAAAAGGTTCATTATTTGTTTGTTTATGCGCTGTAGTCTGTAGTCTTATCTCTTTATGATTTTAGAAAGGTGTACAGTCCAAAATAACAACTTCTATGTTGTTTTTAAAAACAAATAAGCTTTTTTTTATTTAAATGAAAGAAAAATAAAATTAACCAAAAAAGTAAACAAAAATTTTAAAGTTTGGTGACTTTTTTCAAAATACTTCTCCAAGTAAATTATGAGACTAACATTTCTTAGTCAAAACTTTTAGAAATTAAAACAAAAATTCACTTAAATTAAAGATAATAAATTCAAAAAATTTCAACAAAAAATAGTACTTAATATTATTTTGAAATTTTGGTAACAAAAAAATGCACTTTGGATTTCTTTAGTTGAATCAGAGATTGCTGCGATTCCAATACCAATTGAGCTTGGTTTGCAAATTTCAAAAAAAACAAAAAATTGTCGCTGGGTGCCGGACACGTCCAGACCCCCACCCGTCGAGTCGTCCCGCCCGACGCCTGTTTACCTTTCGGCTGCGTCCGTCGATCGCAGATCGTCCGGACTCCGTCTACTGATTAGCCGGCCATCTGATGTGGGTACATTTTGTACATATATAGGGTGTGTGTGTGTATTTGCAAACTAAATAGGTCTAGGCTAGTCACACGAATCGGCTTTCGTCTAATCAGTGGCCGGAGTGCGCGACCGATTACGCGTCTATGCTGAGGCCATCCACGTACTGGCGAATCTCCAGCACATCGGCTGGATACACACGGCAACAGCCGCCGACGATGCGGGCACCCAACTGGATCCATTCTGGGACAAACTTTACAACCTGCTCACCAGTACCGGTCCACTCTCCCTGAGCGGCATCGTATATCTCGCCGCGATTACTATAAACAACCAATGGAATTTTTTCATTCGACCCGGCAGCCTCTAAAAAGGACGTCAGCAAAGGTGTTACAAATTGTGGATTCACACAATTGACACCGATTCCCAGGAGACGATCCTGAGCCTGTCGTTGTTGGACCAAACGCCACACGGAGAGAGCAGCCTGGGCGTAGGATTCTCCACTAGCAAGGCGGGCTTTGTCCTGGAAAACATAGAGGTAAGCTTTGCCCTCACATGGATGTCTTCCACACTCACCTGACACTGAAAGGACACCCAGAAATTGACATCCTGATAGGAATCCAGTACAAGTTCGGTTACTGCCTCTGCTTCTAGCTGGCAGGGTAATGTCTCCAGGGCCAGTCCATTTACTCCAGCTGCCAAGCAGATCTCTATCCTGGTTCTATGCCAGTCCTGAAGCTGTTTCTTGGTTATCTTGTCCGCATAGCTGCCGGAATACTCAGATCCGTCGTGCAGGCAGGCGCCATATGGTCCAATAGAGGCCAAAATAAGAGGTAATGTTGAGTCGGAAGCGGTTTCCTCAAGGTACTGTGTCTTGGCCTCCTGGGCGAGTTGAACACTCTTACGGATGAGCTCCTCGCCACCTTCCTTGCTGACTCCCAGGTACTTCACGAAGCCATCCACGCTCGACTGGTACGTGTTCGTCAGAATGATATCCGCTCCACTGTGCAGAAAGTCCAGATGTGTTTTGATGACTGCCTCTGGGTTGGTGGCATCGAACCGGGAGCCCCACAGCGGATCACCGTCCACCTTTTCGGTTACATTCCTGGCCAGCTGGGAGGAGAAGCCACCGCACTTGACCAGTATTGGCTTGGAGTTCCTGTTTCTGTTGCTCACTTCCATGTTTTCTTCACTGGCCTACGTGATACTTTCAACTGCAGGTGACTTCTTGGCGGAAAAGCAACAAACCTCAAAGATAGTGCGCTGTATTTTGTATCTGGCAGATACGTGAGATTGTGAGATTTGTCGCCTGTTGCTTGTTTTCCCTCCCGACTTGGAATTCTATGAGGTCTTTATTTTTCAGAATTTTTTAGCTTGGGTTGGCAACTTTTTCCGCTTATCTACTTTTGTCGGAATTTTCACAACACAAAAGCTCACCCACACATGTTCGAGGCTCAGCTGTTCTTTGTTTACCGTTGTTGGCTGGCTACAGTGGAGCCTCGGAAAAGTGAAATTCAGTTTTTTTAAAGAATAATAAATGTAAATGTTTATTTATGCAAAAATTTATAAAAACAGAATTATTATATTGATTTTATCTGAAGTTTGTGTAAGGATTAATTGTGTAGGAAAGTATTATAGAAATTATATGAAAGATCTTTTGGTTTCATATTAATTATTAAAATATATATGAAACAAAACTTGCCAAAAATAAGGTTGGGAATACTGTAAATAAGTAAATACTGCGACAAAAGTACTAAAATAGCAACAAGTTCAAGAGAATAATAAATATGCCCCTAAATAAATATATTGTTTGAAATAATGAAAGAAAATAGCCATAGCTGTTGCCAAAAAAATTTACATTTAAAACAAAATACAAATTTTCATATTCTATATAAAATATACAAAATTATTCTCCCCCCAATTTTAAATAAAACGCATTTTTAAAATATAAATATAATACGCACATTTTATATATATACGAGATAATACATTGGAAAAACAAACGGTGTAATAACATAGATATGGGTATGTTAAAAGAAATACAAGTCCTTAAATACACTTTAGTGAATGCAATTGGTTTTTGTTTTGGGTTGACAGTTAATTGTTTAGGGGGCGTATATTGGGTTTATAATCACATAGTTTTTGTTTTGTGTATTAAATAATAAATCAGGGATTAATTCAAAGAGCTGAAAAAATGCCACAAACGATAAATGTAATGATAACTTTGGTAAACTTACGCAGTGTATAAATTCTAAAACATTTCGCTTCTAAAACTAGTTTACATATTTTTGTTGCTTCACTTTCTTCCTTCAATAAATAACAGTTATTGGTATTGTTCTGGCTATATTGTGTTTGTTGCTGTTGTATATACTATATAGTAATATGTGTAACATTGCTAGGCTCAAAAAATACAGATCTCTCTATATCTGATATTGGAACGATACGAAAATCGGAACCGAACGGTACGGAACGGAACGTAGTGGAGAAAAGCTTTAACGAAATGCCACAAAAAATAATTTGAAACACTCAGTCTCAGGTCTCCATAGGTAATCCTTGCTGGTCCTTGTGGGCTGGTCCTTGTCCATTCAGGAAAACAGATTGTTCCGCCTCTTGAGGGATCCAAACTTCTTCTCCGCCTCCAGCAGCATCTTCTCGTTGCGGACCACCTCGAAGGGAATGGTCCGGGACAGGCGGTCCATCTCCTGGTCCGAGGGAAAGTCCTCGAAACTCATGTTGCTGAATCCGGTCTTGGCGGAATTTTGAATGGTATTTGATTGGAAATTGCGACTGGTGGCTCCCCGGTTCTCATCCTGATCCTGCCTAACGTCGTCATCGTCATCGTCGTCATGGGACTGGTACTGCAGTCTCTGGTGTTTCTGCTTGCTGCCGGATGAGAGGGACGATGTGGATCCTAGGGCGGCGGCACTTACTTTCTTGTACGAGTGACCCTTGACCTTCTGTGGTGAGCTTCCCCGGCAGCACTCTCACAGCCAAATGGGACTTCTCCTTCTTCGGCTTGCCGCTGGCGGGTACTCCCATTCCGTCGGCCACCACATCGGCACCACGCAGCACCACGGGCTCCTCCTCGTCATCGGGCGTGAAATCCGAGCAGCGATCTTGGGAGATTTGCACAAACGAATTATCGGCAATGGGCAGCAGGGGGCGGAGATGGGTAGCTGGTGGAGGTGGAGCTGGTGCGGGAACGGGCGGAGCAGCCGGCGAGGACTGCGGCTGGCTGGAGGAGGCAGAATAGGATGACGGCACATTCACATAGACACTGCTGGTGCCGCCAGCACTCGACTTCTGATTGCTATTGTTATTGTTATTGTGGAGCAGTGGATGATGGTTCATCAGCGGCTCTGGCGTTTTGTTGATAATAATCGAGTGATTTATGGTCACCAGTTGTGGCGCAGCCACGGACACGGATACGGGTGCAGTAACGGGTACAGGAACATTAACACAAACGGAGGCGGAGACGGTGGCGGTGGCGGATGCGGGCACTTTGATCACATTGTTGTTATTGTTATTGTGGCTGGGAGGAAAGTGGTGCATCGGGTTCTGTTCGATGGTGCGAATTACCTGCGGAAAGGGCTCCGAGCCAAACAGATCCTCCTCCTTCTGCTCAGTGTCCTGGAAGGGATTGAAAATCGGCTCATTGAACTCGTCCAGCTGCGGTGACTCCGCCGTCTGATTTGTGGGCGTCAACTGGGCCGGGAAGTTGGCAAAGTTCGCGGCGGAGGAGTCTCCGCCTGGTACCGAAGACTTCACGGGCGTTGAGGTCCACATTTCAGGCTCAACTGGCTTGGGTTTAGCTTTCGGTTTGCTTTTCCTCTTCAAAGGAACTCCTACAGGCAGCTTGAACGGCGCCAAGGCGAACACATCCTCCTCCTCGGCCTCGGGGATATCCGAGTGCAATGGCAGTGGAGCTGCCAGAGGTGACTCCGCGCTGCTCTTGCTCTCCCCAGAACCGTAGTCCAGTTCGTCGTCCAAGAGCAGAGGACGGTCGCCGAATTTGTGAATCAAATCGCTGGAAGTGGGACTCAGTTCCTCCGAAGGGGCACTCGGATCCCCACCGTTTCCAGCAGCCACCAGACTGCGGTCCTTCTTCCGCATTCGCACCTTGACCACCACCCGGCTACGGACGTCATCCTCGTGGGTGGTCACGCTCTCGCACTCGGCATGGTAGGCAGAACTGCTGCAGGTCTTGACGGATTCGCTGATGCCGTCCATTTCCGCCGGCAAGGGGCGCCGCATCTTGGTCTGCGTCTGGCGGGGATTCTCGTCAAACAAGTCATCATCCTCCGCCCGCAGATCACTGGCCGAGCCAATGGAATCGCCATCGGATTCCGCCGCCTTCGCCGCCTCCTCGGCCTGGGCTGCCACGGCGGCGGCCATGAGATTCAGTTGCTGAGCCGCCTGGTGGGCGGCAGTTGTGGGCTTCTTGGTGGTTTGACGCAGCTTCTTGACGATCGGCAGGTGGGCAGATGTCTTGTCCACCTTGTGGTAGGCCACCTGTTGGATCTTGTGTATGGTCTCGGGCAGAGTGCTGGTCACCAGTTGCATCTGCTTGAAGATTCCGCCGCCACCACCGCCGCCCGGCTCGTCGCTGTCCTGCTGGAAGAAGCCAGAGCCCTCGGAATCATCGGAGTCGTCAGTGGTGGGCAGGTCCTTGCTGCGCAGCTTCTCGTACTTGTTGCGATCATCGAGCGGTAGCTTCACATAGCCAACGGCATCCCCGCCAGCTGAGCCACCCGCCAGGCCGCACTCCGAGTCCGTTTTCAGTTTGCTGATCAGGGAGGTCTTCTCCTCGCTGGACACCTCCAGGGTGGGGGAGAGCAGCCACTTGGACGAGTTGGATGAATGGGGGGCTGTGTTGGCTACCTGGCTGATGGGCGTGACCAATCCACCTACGCCTACGCCGGATGAGGTGCCGATGAATTTCGCTGTGGACGAGAGCGAAGGACTTTTATGCAGTAAGGTAATGAGAATTTTGTGTCTACAACTAAGAATGCGAGTGAAGTGATAAAATGATGACATCTGGATGGATCGAAGGGGATATATGTACTGTACTCTATGTACTACGTGACGTATACGTAATATTTGTTAGTCGAATGTCAAATGCGAAGACAAAAGCTGGAACTCGATGTTTGGTTTTAGTTGGACCCCAAAAGTTAATTCGGTGATGGATGTATTCGATCTTAAGGCATGCACAGTCCACAGATTTTTTAATTAATTTTAAATGAATTAAAAAAGAATACTTTAAATACTTGCTTGTAAAATAGTTTGATTTTCTATAAAACATAAAATGATTAAAATATGAATTAAAATTGTATGACTGATGCCTGTGCATGCCTTGACTTATTAATTAACCCACACATTTAGTTAGTTTTGGTTTACATTATTGAGTTTTGGGTTTTTTGGAACATAATATTGAATTTATTGCATTTTTGCTTCAGTTTTGGTTTAATTCTCATACAATTCTTGTGGCTGAACTTAAGCTATAGCGCCCCTCCATCCCAACTGGCCATGTATATAAATATATAGTGCTTTATGTATATATCTGTATATATATATATATATATCATCTGTATTAGTTTCCTTCTGATAATTTGCTTGTATGTGTCTTGGTTACCTGACTTATGTTGCTTTCATTGCGCTGTATCTTGGGTTATACTAACACTAGATATTATAGCTCTTTAAGTTAACGCTTCAAGGCTTTATCTTTCTTCCCCGATACGGATTATCTTATGTACAAGTATTAACAGGAGTAGTAGTAGTAGTTATAGCTAAGTGAACATTTCAATTAAGTGTGTGTGGGGGGTGTGGGTGGTGTTTGGGTGTTCTGGTGTGTGAGAAGCAACAATTGTGGACCTTCTTGATTGGACTCTCTCGTGATGATTATTAACAATTGATTGGTTTACTTTATTTGTTTGTCTGCTGCTGCCACATCCGCAGGGAACGCAGCTTGAGGAGCACTTTATCGATAGCATTAAAAATAAATAAATAAACAATCAAAGAGTGAAGGATCTTAATCGTTTTGAGCAGAGAACTGATCTGCCTTCTACAATAATTAATTAATTAATTAATAATCTCTTTAGCATTAATCTTTAGAATTGCACGATGATAACACATGGTTTGTAAATTTATAACTTTGATATGCAAATTATTGCCAAAATGTATACGCTAGTTGTAGTTTCAATTGCTTCGCCAACAACATGAATAAATATCTATAGTACTTGTTCGCTTAGTTAGCTACGATTTTACAAAAACACACATTGAGATACATTTACATATTCGGAATCGAAATCGAAATCGGAATCCAATGAATTGTACAATAAAATAATTGAAATTTTGTTCATCTTTGGATTTCTGGTTAGTCCACGAACCACAACCGCTAATTGTTTACTGTTAAGTGACTAAGTTTATAAAGAGACTAAAAATAATATGCATTATTATTATTATTATATATGCTTATAGGTTT